CCCCAAAACCCCAAAACCCCAAAACCCCGAATGAATACAATGTTTGAAAATTAATAATATAATAATTTTAGAAAAAATACTATATAAAATGCAAAACCAAATGGAGCATTTATATGCTAAGTATCATGGCTGTGGTCATGCTGATATGAGCAAATGGTTTCTATTTTCATAATTTATTTCTGTAGGGAATTTATATCTGGAATCCATAGAGACAGCTATGCTTCACACATCGGTCATTTCTCAAGACTTTCATACATGGCAGTGGCTGAAAATGAATCGATTGCTAAAACTCGCCACAAATTGCTAGAGGTAAGAATTAGATACTGTTTAATTACTTGTAGAAAATGATCTAGCCTTGTGGGCCTCCCCCAGCAAAGAGAGATGATGAATGAACAATCAATAAGTATTTCAAAACTTTAAAGTCTCATAAAATTAAATAAAAAGAGATGATGTTTAATTAATTTCTTAATTTCATTAATGCAAAAATTTTATGTAATCTTAATAATTAAAATGAAAAATAATCGCTCGCCTGATAAAAAAGAAGAAGAAAAATTAATCAGGCCTGCCCTTCCTCTTGATTAGTAGTTCAAGGACGATGAGTATGAATTGCCAGAAGGTGATATGGAAGCAATTTAATATCTAATGAGTGTAAGGTAATAAGCAGAGGAAAAAGAGGAGGTCTATAAAAGTAAAAATTATCATCTATACTTATCAAACACTCAGACTTAAAATGGTGGAAATATTTACTAATCTCAAAGAATGAGTCTAACTCAATCGATATTCTAGCCATCTGAGATTTTAGTTAATGAGCAAAGCATATATCAAGATAGAGACATTGTAGTAGGCAGTAATACTTATGATAAAAATAAAAACAGTCTATGGGATTTAGAGTGGGTTAAGTTACTTCTTGATCAAAGAATTTAAACAAGAGCTTAATTACTATAGCTGTAGAAGCAAATACCAAAAGCCCAAAGATATATAAATGCTGATGTGTACTTTGAATACCTAGAAAAACAAACTAATTATGAAGATAAAATAGTGGTTCTTGCTTCCGAGGTGGTTTTGCAGGAAATATTTGGGATTTTTGCAATAGAAAGATAATGTGATTGGCTTGAAAAGAAACAAATTCCTGAATTAGATTTGAAGATTATATACGGGCTGCTATGCTTACTAGAAAAGCCCTTATTACCAGACTAGGCTGCAGATTTAAACCATTTACTAAGCATACTATTAAAATTTAGGCAGTAGTTGAAAGTTGAAATACAATAAGATGCTGATAAACTATCAATGCTAGACATTAATATTGCATTAATAACTGAGTACTTTGATCAAAGGTTTAAATGAAAGGAATTTGAAGCACTTTAATGATGAAATTAATTAATTAGCTTGATTTTAACATAAATCATAAGTAATAAAAGTTAATAGTGAAAATTTATAATTGTCTCAGTTTCAGAATCAAAATAGCTTTTCTGTGGTGGCAAGAGCATAACCTTTAGCGAACCAGTTTTATCTTTTCATTAGATTTTCATATCTCACAATATTCTCATGATTAGACTCAAAAATGTATGAGCTCTCATCAATGAAACCTTTCGAATCTATATTTAGATTTAGACCATTACTAGCTACTATCTTAGTATCAGAACTAGTTCTAGGAATCTGCTCTTATGAATTTGAAACTGTTTGGAAATCACTTGCTTATACTGCATTTTTGACTGTTTTATTCTGTGTTCTAGGTCGGCGTAACATGTCAGGAGGCTCTTTTTCCTTTTTAGACTCGAAATTAAAGAAGCTTTTGTTTATTTCTTTCAGTTAATAGTAGTCATCAAGAGTCAAGTTTATCTTTTCATCAGCTGACTCGTCAAATTCATCTTTCTTAGTAAAATCACCTGTGAACCTTTGACTGAGCACAACTTCTCTCTTATTGCTTTCACGACTCTTAATTCTGATTTGGCTTTTTGATATGTTCGAGTCTTCTTCCAAATGAGCTAATTTGATTATCGAATTTGATGCATCTTTAGTCTATTACCTTAATTTCTTGACTTGATTGAAGATTTTTTTTGTCTTAATATTTCTAATCTCAGAGATATTTTATCTGGATTAAGTGTAATTTCTTATTGTTGACTAGGCAGTAGTATTGTAGTTAGGTGGTGTAAATTTGCTGTACAAAGGTATCTGCTTATTTCTTTCTCTTATATTTAATTTAAGAACATGGTCACTCATCAATGTATTATTTGTCTATTACTGAAATTTTCCAGTTTTAAATTTATTGTTACGACTTTGACTATTTGATTTAATTTTTAGCTCATATCTTGAATCGAGATGAGTTTTATCGTCTGCATTATTAAAAAATCCAGATGTAATGGTATTTGATAAGACATCTTCTTATTATTTATTAGAGTCTTTAATGGACGTCATTATCGGCACTGACCGATCAACTTAATTTTAGGTTAGTAATTTTCTTCCTATTTTTGATCATATTCTCTTCTGTTTTTTACTTAGAATGCTTTTGATTTGCTGTTGAAGATCGAGGTTGTTGCTTTGAACTAGAAGTTCTTTTATTATAACTTATTGTCTAGGTAAAATTTACTACTCTAAACACTTTGCCATTGATGGTAGTTTATATTAAATTCAATCTTTATCAAAGGGATCGAATGATTTTTCGAGATTATCTCTATCAACTATCTTATTTTTTACAGGTACATATCAGGTTCTAATGAGATTTCGCTCAATTTTAGGTGTATACTAAGAAATTATAGAAGTTTGAAGAATTATTTAGTGCGGTTAGCATTGGTTTATAGGAGTAAAATTTCTTTATTTTCCTTGCATTATTGTTTTACAAATTGAAAATTTAATTATTAAAGAAATTGTTAAATGTTTAATAATTTTAACTTCTAAATTTACTTAAAAAATTAAATAACTATCTTGTGGGGTTTTGGGGTTTTGGGGTTTTGGGG